CCCAGTGGTCTGCCGTGGGTCCTTGAGAATGAGGGCAAAGCAGCCCGGAAAACATGACTGAGCATTCAGGGGCTGATGGAGCGACCCACAGAAAGGAGCCAGTCAACACCAACCCACCACCGCCCAGTGACCAGAAGGTGGCATGGTCCCCAAAAAGGAGCACTTACTGTACCTGAGTGGAGAGCAGGACAAGGGAACCCTCCTACGGCCAGAGCACAGGAGCTAAATCTAGAACTGCACACTAGAACTCATGGCCATGCAGTCCCCTTAGGAATTAGAGACATTCTGTTGGTCGTTTTTGTTTATTTGCCCATTTTACAAATGCAGAGGCTGAGACCCAGGGAGGTAAAGGGACTTGCCCAAGTCCACATAGCAAAGAGAAGGCAGAGCCACAATCTGAACCAGGCTGGCTGACTCCAATGCATTCCTGCTGTCTTTTAATAAGCCTGGGTCCTGGAGACTTGCTATGGAACTAAAGGAGGGTGACCAAAGCCCCTTAGCCCCCTGTCTTCATCCGTAGAACTCTCTAACTCCAAGCTGGCTGGGAAGCTTCACGCGCATGCACACAACTGAGAAGCACCTGGTGCACAGTGAGCCTGACAGTCAGAGCCATTACAAGTGCCGCTGCTGATATTGTTGTCCTTGGCCTGAGGGGCCTGCACCCCAACTTCCCACACCCACAACTTTCCTGCCAGATGACCAAGACAGAACTCCACAGTCTTGCAGAGGATGGGCCTCTCCTCCCAGACCCCTCTAGCTTTGGGAGCTGCCTGGGGCAGGGTGAAGCTGCAGTGGTAACCTGGATGAGCTGCCGAACCTGATCCCGAGCTCGACCCAGCCAGGAGACATTTTCAACAGCCACCTCTTTATCTCCAAGTGAGCAGGTGACACTTAGGGGCTGTAAGAATGCTGGCACGGTGCTCCTACTCCTTTCCCTCTACACTGGAAATAGGCTGGGATGGGAATGCCTCCACTAAAAAAAAACCACCACACACTTCTATCCCAGCAGCCCTTTCAGGTCAGCACACTGCACTCCAGGAGGACACAGCCTGCAGACACTGAGGGAGATGCCCTCAACCCCAGAGATGCCCACGAGGCTCTGATCACCCCTGATCCCAGAATCCAAACAGGATGCCACTAAGGACTCCATTGCACCTGCCGGGGCTCTGTTTCCCCACCAGTATTCTGAGTAACTTCATGATTCTTTCTGAAAAACTCAGCTGGATGTGGTGGAATGAAGAGCTTGAGTCCAGAGACTTGCTTCTTAACCACTGACTCCAACAAATCCCTTCCCCACTGTGGACCTCACTCTCTCCCCCTACAATGCACCTCACCTACCTCATCTTCTTGTGGAACAGGCAGAAGGATGAAAACAGCTTCCTAAACGTAAAAGAAGCTTTCACAATCTTACAAGCAGTTCCCTTTTCCCTAATATGAGTCATTTCTCAGCCTCTGTTTCCTCCTCTGTTAAGTGGGAAGACGTACCCTGCCTCACTACACTTAGAAGCACTGGGAGGAAGCAGAGTAAACAAACGCCTATGCACCTGGCAGCATCTCCTCCAGACCTAGAGCTCCTTGGAGCCAAGGAGTGACCAGGAGTCTGGGTCTACTCCCAGGCTATAAAGAAGCAAGGTCCTGGAAAAAAGTACTGAGGGGAAACCCCCTGAATGGACAGATGGATGGTGTTGCTTTAAAAAATTAAAAATCCCACCCAAAAGGACGGCTTCCCACCTTTGTCTTGCCTTAACAGACATGCCCCTAGCCTCCCCATCCTAGGCAGTTTGAAGGAAGCTTCTAAACCTCCCTGAAGAGGCTGGAAGTGGGGGTGGTGAAACCTAAACACCTCTCACACCAAGCGGAAATGGCACTGTGGGAGGGACAAGGGGCTGGCAGAAGGGACAAGGGGCTGGAGGAAGTCCCCCCTGCTCTGGCCCTCCTCACGCTGGCCTGTCTGGGGAAGGCTAGGACCTAGCCGAGCCTGGCGGCAGGAACAATGTCAGGCAGGTGCCAGCGGAGCAGCGTGAAAGGCCCAGCCCGGTGTCATTGTCAGAGCTCAGCCAAGTGCAGAAAAGCAATTTACTGGTCACGCCGCCTGCTCCCACAGAAATTTTTAAAATTCTTCCGATTTGAGCTATCTGCGGTGTCCCGAGTCTTGTGGAGAAGGGATGAAGGGATTTTATTAAATTCCCAGCTTCCCGCTTCCCAGGGTGGCTGGGGCTGAGGGCGGGCTCACCACACTAGGGGTGGGTGGAGGACAGTGTCTGGCCTTGAATGTGCTCATGGAAACGTGGCTTGGGGGCAGGGACCCCATTCTGAGCCTGGTAGCTGAGGGATAGGAGGAGAAGAACCCAGAAACTTCACTACTAAGACTGGGCTGGTCTCCAAAACTGAAATGGAGGAGGGAAGGGCATAGGTATACCCATTTCCCAGGTGAGCAACATGCCTTCCTGGGTAGGTGAGAACTTGTAAAACTTCTTCCACCTCTATCATACAACACTTCAACCCTCGGGCCACCACCTTTGCAAATGAGGAAATTAAGACTCTCAGGATGACACAGTCAGGACATCCAGGTCCACATGATTGCCCTGCCCTGAGCCCTTCCTTCAGGCCAGTGAGGCCTCCCTGGCCCCTGCTCAGAACAAACTGCTCCAGCTGCTGTCACTTAAGTGGACCCTGCCCAGAGTGTGTAGGCTTTCCCTGCATCTGACCAGCACCATCTCTGTAGGGATCAGATTCCAGATTCCCAGCGACAACACTCTCATCTCTGCCCCTAAGGACCATCCTACCTTTGTCCCTGAAGTGTAAATGGGGACAGAAGCATGCCAACCTTGCTTGAAACCCCACCCTCAAAGTAACATTTCTTTACCTTTTAGGGACGGGGTGCTTTTGAAAACTCAATGGATTGCTGAAAGCCCTCCCAAAATACATCTGCATGCTGTTTTTTATGCAGTGTTTCAGGAACACCCTCCCTTAAATCCCATTCCTAGGTATTCCAGGGATGCAGAGACCAGGAGTCAAAAACCTCAGCCCTGTGGTAGCTCAGATTTGAAAAGGCTAGAGAGGACAAAGGAAAGGAAAGGCAGGAGAGAAGAGAGGAGGCTTCTCACCTGCCTGAAAGCCGCCTCTTGACCTAACCCTGGCTGACCACCTAGCTTTTCCCTAAGATGCTGGCTGTAGCTTTGGCCAGGAGATGGAGGTGGGAAGCAGCAGAGTCTAGACTCTCTCCCTCATATTCTCCTCAGAGAACACAAAGACCACCCAGTAGCCCTCCTGGGCCCCACTTCAACAAGATTCAAGAGCAGCAGGCATCCAGAGGCTTGGACAGCAAGGTTCAAAGGCCTCCGTCTATGCCCATGTCATCAGCTTCTGCCCTTAAGCTCCACACTCCAGAAAAGAGCTTCCCCAAAAGCCAGACAAGCAGACCCCCTGGAGTGACCCCAGGCCATGCCCTCTGCTTGAGGACTCAGCTGCACACCAGGCAGACCATGCCTGGTACTGGCCTCTCTCTCTGACACCAGCCATTCCCCACCCTGTCCCCCACCCCCATCACCACACAGGGTCACATCTGCTTTGGCAAACAGCCAGTCTTAAGTTACTGGCTCCAGTTGTATTGATTCAAGGAGTCACTGGGGACCCCATTCTAGCCAACAGGAGGAAAGAACTCATCAGTCTGTCCATCCATCCATCCATCCATCCATCCATCCATCGTTCCAGCCCCCGCACCCCAGCCCCCAGCCCCAACTGGCTGGCCCCCATCAGGATGGTAACATCCTCTCCCAGGAGAGGGAAAGGAGATGAGACACACCACCAGCAAACACTGCAAGAGGCTTCTGGGTCTCAAGCACTCAAAACACACACACACACACACACACACACACTCTTCTTGTATCAGAACACTGGGAGAACCTCCACATTCCCATGCGCAAGATTTTCTGAACATCTCCAGAATCCCAAAGGCTAAGGGCTAAGCATCTTACCTAGCCCTGTAAGGACACCTGCCTTTAACAGAGGGGGAAGGGGCCGACAATCCTCTTTTGGCCTATGTCCAGCTCCTCCCAGGTCCCCTCCCTTGCAGCACTAGGTGGGTGGGGGGCTTGGGCAGCTGGGCTTCCTATTCCCTTGGCCCACCCTCTCTCCCCCCACCACGATGAGGCAGCTCTGGTCTGGTTCTAATCGGGGCTGAAGTCGGCTCCCTCTTCCCCTCTTCTCCACCCCCCTCCCCTTTCCCTTCATTTCCACGGCTTTGGAAGCCAGAGCGTTCCAACTGTCTGCTTGCCAAGACCTTCCCGAGTCTGAAAGCTGCTGAAGTAACAGATCAGATTTTAGCAAGTGCTTTCCAGGCTGAGCGCCAAGCCCTCTTCTGATTCACGGAGAGCAAGAGCGAACCAGGGAGCAGGAGCAGGCGGGGAACCAGCAGCCCAGGACTGCACCACCTTGGGTGAGGGCGTGCGGAGCCCAGCCGCTCCGGTATCAGCCTGGGGCAACAGCCCGCTCCCCCACCCCCCCACCCCGGGCGCTCGAGCTAGCGCGCTCGCGCCCTCTCTCTCTCCCTCCCCCCCCTCGCCTTTGAAACCACAGACTAATTTACAACTGAAGCTCTCTCCCTCGAAATCCACTCCTGCAAGGAACCTTTTTGTTTGGAACAGCGGGTGGCGATGTTAGGGGGACAGTTTGCAGACAGACAAAATCTCTAGGTCCCAACTCCTGGACAGCTGCAGGCAGGGTTCTGAAGCCCGGCACACTGCAGGACCCTCCTCCCAGCCCAGGCTGTCAGGGACAGCGGCAACCTACGCCGGCTGAAGCCCCTCAGCAGAGCCCGGTGCCCTTGGCGGTCCGCAGCCCGCGCAGGGCGCACGCGAAGCCGCCCTCCTGCGCCCTGGGAACAGGTGCACCGGGCTCTGAGCCTAGCAGGGGTGGGGCGCAGCGAGGAGTGCGGCCCGGGGGAGGGGGTCTGCGTGCAACGCGAGGCGGGGGGGGGGGCTGAGCAGGAACCCACGTACCTGTACCTGGAAGCAGAGCAGCAGGAAGTGTAAACACCTGCAGGAGAGAGATGGAGAGGCGGTCAGTGGGACTTGAGGGAGAGGGGCGCGCGGACAGACACGCAAGCGGAGTCAGAACAGACGGGCGCGCGGACAGAGCCACAGGCACACGGACAGACGGCGGCAGAGTGGGCAGCCCCACACGCGGGCGCTTACAGGCAAGAGCAGGCGGAGGGCGCTGAATACATCGCTGGGCGGGGGGGAGGCGGCGGCTCCTAGCCCAGCCTGCACATGTCCGCTCCGCGCGGCCGGGACCGGGCGCCTCCGCCGCCGCCGCCGCCGCCGCCGCCGCTGCTGCTGCTGCTCCCTCCTCGCCGGCTGCTGCTGCAGACTCTCCTGCTCCGGGGCGCTCCGCGGCGCGCCCTGCGGCATCAGCGCCCCGCGCGGCTCCTCCCGAGCGCTGCGCCCTCCGGGCTGCGCAGGGGCTGCGGGGAGGCCGCCGCTGAGCGGGAGGCGCCCGGCCGGTGCAGGGAAGCAGGATCACTGCTGGCTGTCCGTCCGTCTGGGCGTCCGCGAGGGGCTGGCTGCCCGGCTTACTCCGGGGGCAGCATGAGCGGCGGGGTCGAAGCTGGGGCGCGCTGTCTGGCCGGCACGCGAGGATGCGCGGGACCAGGGGTCAGCGCTCCGGGGCTGGGGTTCGCGGCTGCAGCGCGAATGCGTCACGGCCGCTCCGTCTGGGCGCCCGCGGGCTCATGTCTCCTCCTCCGCCTCTCTCCGGCCGTGCGCACCGCCACCTCCCACCACTGGCGGCGGCCGGGGCGTTTTCTACGCGCGGGCGGCGAGGGGGCGGGGGGCCGGGGGCGGGTCCGGGCCGAGCCGGCACAATGAGGATGCGGGGCCCGGGGGCTCCCCCCTCGGGGCGCGGCCGGACGGGCGCTCAGCTAGCCTGGGTGCGCCGCGCCCACATCAAAGGCGGCCCAGCCAGCTCCCCTGCCGGCCGCGGCCTCTCTACTGCCTCCTCCGCCTCCTGGCGGCTCCGGCGGCTCCGGGTTGAAGGGGAGGTTCTCAGGACTCCCGGCGACTGGACTGGCAGCTCGGAAGTCAGAACCCTCGAGACTGCAGCTGGTGAGCACTGGAAGCCGTCGGAGTTGCGCGCCCAGGCGCAGTGACCCGCGCCACAGCGCAAACGTTGGCTGAATTGGGCAGGCTGTGGTCTCCAAAAACGCAGTTAGGTGCTGAGGGAGCGCCTTCACTCAACCCACCTATGCCACTCACACACCCACCAGCTTTTGAGTGGGGAGCCGGGAGAGGGCGGGTCAGGCCCAGCCCCCAGTGGCTCTATGGAAGGGGGGGGGTGTCTCTTTTGCCAATCCAGAGTTCACGCAAGATCGTGGCGTTTTCCAGCGGGTTAAGCATGCTAAGTGAGTCCTCCGGCTCTTTCCCTCTCGGCTGCGGGAGATGGGGAGGGCTCCGGGTGCCTCCCCACCCCCTCTCCGGAGCTCCAGGAAAGGTTCTCGGGATCCCAGCTGGGCTCTCGGGTAGGCCGGCAAGACAGCTTTGGAAACGCACGAGCACCACCTAGCGGCTTCAAAGCATTATTGGAACCCAGCCCCGGCAGGCTCTGTGCCTGGGAGTAGCCAGGACTCTGGTCAGCGACCACTCCAGGATCTCTTCCTGCCTCCTCCCCAAAACCGGGCTAAGTGGCTTGGTTCCTTTGAAAGGACCCCACCTAACTAAAGACACTGGTTCTTACTGCCTCCCGCCCATCTTTCCCACTAACCCCAAAGTGTAGATATTCTTACCACATACCTCAGTCTACAGCCCTATCAATCAGGCCCTACTCTGGACTGATGCTGACAGGTGACAGTGGGAAAGAAAACAGGCTCAAAAACCAAAACTGCAATCACAACTATTAAGCCCGTGTCACTGGCTGTGGTTGATACTCCCACTCCGCTGGTGAAATAGATGCTGCCGTAGGGGGTGATTTCCTGAAGTCATGGACATGCGCTATTTGTTTTAAAGCTAAGTTCTTTTTCAAAGCTGAGGCTACTGTAAACAGCACTGGAGACAAGTGCAGAAAACCTTTTCAAAACCAGGTGCTGAGTGATGGGGAAATTCTTGCACAAAGCTTATTAACTGAATTCGACATTGATTGCCAGAACTGATCTTTCAAAGCTACTAGTAATTTAATTTCTGGAGAAAATGAGCCTACTCTAAATCTTCCCACATGGTGATGGTTTTGGCTTACGCCTTAAGTGTTTCAAGTACCCCCTGGCTTTTTAAATTTGTACTATTTATTACTTTTGAATGGAGTTGGTATATAACTTTATTGTCCTAAAATGCTTTGCCATCTTTTCAGTGCGAGAATACAGTGTCAATTTCATCTGTCACACAAGTAAGACTGACCAATCAAGAGAATGGCTCTGAGTAAGAGTAAGGATCACAGGTCCTAGATTTGAATGCCTCCAACATTTACTCAAATTCCAGGAAGACTGCTTCCTCATCTACACAATGTGGCTAAGAACAGTAACAACTCAAGATTTGCCCAGCACCACCAAGATCAGGCTGGCACATACTGTAGGCTCCAAATGTTTTAGCTGTTATCAAGCAATAATAATCACAGGTTTTAGGTTTACACTATTTTCATGAAGTGCGGAGGTAAGCTGAAGCACTGAACTAGAATCTTTGTGAACTCTTTAAATTTAACTAGTTACATTTTTCCTATTCTCTACCAACTGCACCCTCAAACCCAGTTTCACATGTATCTTACCAATATAACCTATTTACCTTAACCTTAAATGCACGAATCATATTGCTATCTGGACTTGGTATGTTCATATGGCACTATCATTCAGTCACGTTAATAAGAGATCCAGTTTCCAGGCCCTGGTTGAAGACAGGGTCCCTTCACTAAATAAGCACTCTGCTTCTTTCTGCTAGGTAAGCTGGGCAATAGACAAGCCAAGAGAAATGCTAGCTTGTTACCAGGTTGAGTTCAGAAAGAAATCGATGGGATGAGTTCAACACGGTGATAATGGGCTTGACTAAGCCTTGTAGATAGACTCTAAGAAGTAAAACATTTTTAGTGTTACAGATAATTTTAATACGTTTGAAATGTACAGTACAGAACTTTGACAAGTGTATCTGTGTAAACATCACCTCCTTTCAGGTAACCTTCCTACCCACGATGGCTGGTTCCAAGCAGATCAGATCCAATTTCACACAGCACCAAAGAGGTGGCCCTCCTCTGCTGCTGCTTCGGCGTGACTGATTTACCCATTGTTGGTTACCTGTAGTCAGACTTTACTACTTAATAGGAAGGACAGAGCAACATTTGACAATTTATCAAGGGCTTTAAAACTACATTTTAATCCAGTTCCTCTAGCTAAAAATGAAATGCACAAGTGACAAGAGGCTGCTAAGGTTTTCATTCCAGTTTAGGCAAGAGTATGGTAGCAAAGGCTATGCGTGCTTATTGGGACACAAATGTATTAATCCCCAGCTGCAAGGTAGTAAACTGGTAATTTTCTGGGGGAAGTGAACATTGTAATTGATAATCCCAGTGACATGTAAGCCCTGAACACATTTGACTACTAATCCCTAAACTCCTAGAATACTCTGGCACACACACGAGCTGCTTAAATCTTCAGATTCTCCCTACCCCTTTTTCAAATGTAAAAGAAAAAAACAGCAATCTTGCTTTCCACCTCTTCTCAGTCTCAGGCTATGACTTGATTCAGTGAGTCTGTGGAACAAATACTGTGGCAACAAAGATGGAGAACACTCAGCCCAAGAACCTAGGACAAACACCTTCAAGCAGCATTGCCTGAACAGAGTACTTTGTAAGTAGACCCTTAGTACAGATGAGGCTTTCAACAGCTCTTGGGAATTTCACAGCATCAAAATATGACGGCTGGAATTGGTAGCATACTTATAATCTCAGCAACTCAGAGGCTGAGAGGCACAAGGATCAGGTTCAAGGCCAACCTAGAAAACAAGACTTTGTCTCAAAAATGAAAATGGGGGGGCCAGGGATTTAGCTCAGTGGTTCCGGTGCCTGCTTTGCAAGCACAAGGTCCCGAGTTCGATCCCTGGTACCAAAAATAAAAAATAAAAAAAAATGGGGCTAAGAAGATGGAGACAGCTCAGCACTCACTGAATTCAATCCCTAATACCAAAATAAATACTAGCTTAATCAGGATACATTTTGGGGTGTGAGGCTTGTTTAAATGTCTAGGTAAGAGGTGACATGTCTTACTGAAGATAAGTTCTGTATTTTAGAAATACAGGGTTAAAGGTAACAAGACTGAGGCAAGTTACAGGCAGTTCTTCAGTAAAGAATTAGTTGCTCCCTAACTCAGCAGTCAAAACCAGGTAGTAGCTTCTACAAAGTGTTGGGATACCACTATAAACCTCATGATACTGTACCAATCATTTGCATGATCCAGCTTAAAATATCCTGATCTGCTGATTTAGCCCGTCTCTCTAGCAAAACTGAACTGAGACTTCTCACCCAGGATTTATCCTTATATTCAAAGGATTTGATTATGAAGAGAAGCTTCTGACTCCAGCCAACCAGTGCACCTTTTGCGCTCTTAAATCTTTTCCCTTGCTTTTCCAAAGGGTCGAAAATAAAATCATAGCCTGCTAACCTAGAACACAGTAGTTAAGCAATGCTCCCAAATGTAGTCTATAAATACCACTCTTTTAAAAAAGGAGCCAGGGCTCCTTAGAGAAATACTCAGTCTAAGAAAATGACCAAGTTTAAGCTGGAACATCCTGTCTTTCTACAGAAAGCGAGTGAGGGATCAGACCAAGACCTGTTGACAGTACAAGATGCTTGAAAGAGGATTCCAGTCAAAAAGAATGTGTTTAGCACCAAAAATTGATAGAATGACTTTGGACAAATACAAAAAAATAAAAATCTCATTTGGAATACACTGGATCCTTTCAGAGGTTGCTAAGATGTCACCTCATCCTGAAAATTGGTAAGACTCAAACATTAAGATGTTTTCTTTCAAAGCTACATAGCCTCCCAAAAAATGATACTGCTAAAGACTAACCCATTAAGAAGCACCCCCAAGGAAAAGCAGCTCAATGGTAGCTTAGTTAGCATGTATGGGAGACCTGGATTTGATCCCCAACACCACCAGAAAAAATTAATATGTCATTTTTGGAGATGACTTGAAAACCTTCAATCTCTGCCCTTCCACAAACCTTATCGGGAACCTCAAGGGATGGATGTGATTGATTAGCTTTATTAAACAAGGATCAAGAACAGGACTACCAGTCAGGCC